AGACCAGTCAGCCTCACCTCAATTCCTGGAATCCATTATACTAAAGCACTTACAGTCTTCAAGGAATTCATTTCTAAGCACTTGGAGGAAGAGAAAGTGATCAGGAACAGTCAGCATGGATTCACCAAGGGCAAATTATGCCTGACCAACCCGATTGCCTTTTATGATGAGATGACTAGCTCTGTGGATTCAGGAAGAGCAGTGAACGTGATCTATCTTGACTTTAGCAAGGCTTTTGACACAGTCTCCCACAACATTCTTGCAAGCAAGCTAAGGAAGTATGGGTTGGATGAATAGACTCTAAGTTGGATAGAAAACTGGCTGGAAATTTTGTCGCAGAGGATAGTAATCAATGGCTCAATGTCTATAGCAGCTGGTATCAAGTGGAGTGCCCCAGGGGTTGGTCCTGGTCCCAGTTTTATTCATTATCTTCATCAGCAACCTGGAAGACAGGATGGAGTGCACCCTCAGAAAGTTTGCAGATGATACCAAGCTGTGGGAAGTAGTAGATACACTGGAGGGTAGGTCTAGTATTTAGAGAGACTGCATCAAATTGGAGGATTGGAACAAAAGAAATCTCATGAGGTTCCACAAGGACAAATGTAAAGTCCTGCACTTAGAACAGAAGAATCCCACTGCACTGGTATAGTTTAAGGACGACTAGCTAAGCAGCAACTCTGCAGAAAAGGACCTGGGGGTTACAATGGACAATAAGTTGAATATGAGATAAGAGTGTGTTCTTGTTGTGAAGAAGGCTAATGGCATACTGGGCTGCATTAGTACGAGTGTTACCAGCAGATTAAGGGAAGTGATTATTCACCTCTACTCGGCACTTGTGAGGCCACATCTAGAATACTGTGTCCATTTTTGGGCTCCCCACTACACAAAGGATGTGCATAAATTGGAGAGTCCAGTTGAGGGCAACTAAAATGGTTAGGGGGCTGGAGCACATGACTTATGAGGAGAGGCTGAGGGAACTGGGTTTATTTAGTCTGCAGATTAGAAGACTGGGTAGGAATTTAATAGCAGCCTTCAACTACCTGAAGGAGTTGAAGCTAGGATGGGGATGGAGCTACACTGTTCTCAGTGGTGGCAGATGACAGAACAAGGAGCAACGCTCTCAAGCTGTAGCACAGGAAGTTTTGGTTAGATATTAGGAAAACCTTTCTCTTTAGGAGGGCAGTAAAGCACTGGAACAGAGAGGTTATGGAAGCTGTATCCTTGGAGGTTTTTAAGACAAAGCCTTGGCTGAGATAATCTAGTTGGGGATGGTCCTGCTCTGAGCAGGGTATTGGATTAAATGACCTCCTGAGGTCCTTTCCAACCCTAATTTTCTATGATTCTATGTTGGAGGACTGCTGGGAATGCCATTTCTCATGGTAAACAACTTATGAACTCCCCAGCTCTGAGACATTAGAATGGGCTACCTTGAGGCTTTCATTCACTGCATTGAAAATATTCTTTATACATGTTTTAATCACAATAGCAAAAATTAGGTGTGTTATAGAGGTAATTAAAAATACCATACAGATCCAAAACTCATTGCTCTAAGCACCGTACAATAAAAATTCTTCTGTAAGATAGCCCTGCTTCAAAGTAGACTGAAGGGGGACAGGGAAGAGATAGAGGATGAGGTAACACTTAATAAGTTTTAAAATGTTCAGATAACACTTTTATCATTATCTTTCCATTTGTGTTGTCTATGTTTTGCCAGGTTCTGCTCAGGATCAGAAAAACAGGAAGTCCTGAGGGACTGTTTTTGTAAGAATCCAGCCCAGATATAGATATATAGATATAGAGAGAAATAGATAGAGATAGAGATAGAGATTTGAAGTTTTGACAGGCATCCAAGGTTTTGTCTACTCACTGGACCATATTTGTAAGATGCTTAATGTTTGGTAGAGAAACTAATTTTCACTCGGAAGCCGTTCACAATATGTTTTGACATCTTTCACTACAGAACTGAGGTTCATGGATATCTTTCAGCATTGGTTCCAGCATCCCAGGAGTGGAAAGAATGTCCATGATAAACACAAGCAAGTCAAGAAACAGAGCAAGTGGGCTGCTTTGAAACAAAGAACTGGCCTCCTATGAGTAGAGTTTTATAAAGGGATCTGGTCATCTCCTTAAACATTGTTAAAAAGCTTAGAAGGGATTAGCTAATGGGAAGCTGCTGTCATACAGCAGTGCAGAAATCTATTATGAAAGTGTACTGCATGTAACCTATAAAATCATTTGTTTGGATTTTGTCCAGTTACACCCGTGCAGCATCAATAATGTTAGTGTATTTTGCACAGATGTAATTAAAAGTAGAATGTGGCTCAGTATATTTAAATAAGCAGTGTCAAGTCCTTACCCAGGATCAGGTTCTGTGCTCTGTTGATTTAAACAGAAGCTGTGGATGTTTATGATCTTGCAGAAGACACTCGACAACTCCCAGAATTGAGTGTTCATTTCTTTTCTATAGACCCGTTTACAGGTCTATCAATATAGACCTATAAGGTTTTCTAGGGTTGTCAAGTCTAAGCACGTCACAAACTTCAGTGTGACTGGAAGATTTTTAAAAGTAAAACAAGTAAATTGGATGCTCAAGTCTCATGGACTAGTGGGTGCTGAAAACCTTCCAGTCCCTTGTACCTTTGAAAATCTGCTTTGCAATTACTTTACGTGTATGAAATTCCCAGTGTTGTCAGTGAGCTTTCCCTATTGTGTTTTGTCTGGTCCTGCCTGATTTAGTATTGACCAATGTGTGCACTTTGCAAATGTAAAATTGGAATAATAAGAACAAATGGGTTTTTTTTACCAGTTTACATGAAAGGAAATATATCATCTTTGTGGTTGCTTAATAAAAATTAATTATTTGAATTGTTTACCAAAAGAGTGTGGTAGTTTACAGGATATCTGTCTTTAGCACTCTCTAATCTAGCCAGAATGTGTAGGAAGTCCATCAGTTCCTGAAGCTGTAGATGATTTCCTGTACATCACTTGTTGTAGCCTGGTATATTTGATGATAGTCTAACTGTATGCTTGAAATGTTAGGAATGCATTGTTCATTTCCAGCCAAAAACTGAAAATCAAGGTCGAAGTTCTCCCAGTTGATGTGCTCAAAAACAGGCACAATCTTAAAGTCCCAGTAAAAGTTATAAACTCTTTGCATATATTTCAGGTTGTCTCAAGGTATGTTAGCATTTTCTACATATCCTCTGAAATCCATCTAATAATGAACTGCTCTGCTTAGTCATGTATCAATAAATGTAATGTTCTGTCTAGATGAACCAAGTCTCTCTCAACGTTTTTCCTCACTAATAGTATGCAGCATCATAAAAAGTCAAATACAAAGAAACCTATTGCTTAGGACTAAAATATCTGTAGTGTATATCTTGGAGTTTACAAGAAAACCTTACCTCAAGTGAAGAGAGAGTACTGGGCTCTTGAGTGAAAAGGAGGTGATACCTTTCTGTCCTGCAACTTCTGAAAATATTCAGGACAGAATAATGCAGGGGTGGGCAAAATATGGTCCTGTGGGCTGGATCTGGCCCACAGAGGGACTTTGTCTGGCCCTCAATGGGTCCCTCAGTCCTGCCTGACCCAGGCGCCACCTGGCCTGTGGCACATCTCGCCACCCCCTGGGCATGCAGCGGGACTGTGGTTGGACTGCCTTTCTAGGCAGCCTAGGCAGTAGCAGCTCCTTTCAGCTGCTGCTACCTCTGGCCCCAGCCCTGTGGTACTGGCAGGGACCTGCATGCACAGCCCTGACCCCAGCCTACCCTGCGCCTGCTCCGGGCTCACCTGCCTACATTGAACAGCTGTGGCAGTGGCTGGGCAGAAGCTGCTGCTCAGTACAGAAGAAAAGCGGCTCCTTACCTTTGCCACTCCTGGGCCCCTCTTGCTGCAGCCATCCAGTGCCTGCACTCAGGCTGACCTGTGGCTCCCCTGCGCTGCCACCACTGCCTTACTGGGCAGCCTGAAGGTGGTAGTGATGGCAGCAGAGAGGAGCCACAGGGCAGCCCTGGTACAGGCTCTGGGTGACTGCAGCAAGAAGAGCCCAGCAGCAGTGAGGAGGAGGGGCCACTTTTCCTCCATGCCAAGCAGCAGCTTCTGCCCAGCCACTGCTGTTGCTCAGCATGGGCAGACAGTCTCGAGCAAGCATGGGGCGAGCCAGATCAGGGCTGTGCATGTAGGTTCCAGCTGGTCCGCTTTAGCAGAAACAAGATTGGAGCAGGCATAGGGCAAGCTGGGGTCAGGGTTGGGGCTATGCACTGTTGGCAGTGGCAGGGAGGAAGCTCAGGGTACATGGACTCCAGGCTGTTGCATGTGGAGGTTGCTAACCAGCCCACGGCAGCTGTCCAGAACTGCCTATATAGCCCACAGGCCCAAATAATTTCCTGTCCCTGAGATAATGAGTGCCTTAACCTCTCTGCAGCTGTGCTAGCTACTATAGAGACTTGTACAGATGTATTATGTATTGTATTGGAGTAACTGAGCTTGTTTGGTCTGCAGGAAAGAAGGCTGGGGTCAATTTGATAGCAGCCTTTAACTACCCAAAGGGTGGTTCCAGACAGGATTAAACTAAACTGTTTTCAGTGGTGGCAGATGGCAGAGCAAGGAGCAATGATCTCGAGTTGCAGCAAGGGAAGTTTAGGTTGGATATTAGAAAAAAACTCTCTCACTAGGAGGGTGGTGAAGCACTGTGTAATCTTCCGTGCTGTTCACCAGTGCACTTGGTTTGTCTGGGCTTTTCGAGCTTCACCGTAGCTCAGGGAACGGATAGCTTGCGACTGGGTCAGATTTCTTGGAAGGTCCTCAGGGGTTCTCTCCTGCCTTGTCTTGCTGGAATAAACTTCTTAAATTGGGAGGAAGATAGTGTGGCAGGGCACTGTTGATGCCTGCCACTTCAAGGGCTGATAGAAGCAGCTAGCAGGTGCTTGATTGTGGCGGCCATTTTAGATCTCTGGCCACCTATATAAACAGAGCAATTCGCTGCTAGCAGGCCAGGCAGAAACATAGCCTAGTTGCAGGCTGAATGCTACATCTTGGAGGTAAGGGCAGGAGCTTAAGGGGGTGGTTTGGAGGCTCCTGGTCCTGGGCATGACCTAAAACTGTACCCTGCTGGGAGTGGGGCTCCCAGTGGTGCAGAAACCCCCAGGAAACCACCCCAGTGAAAGGCAGGTCGGGGGGCCTTAATAACCCCAGCTCCCACAACCGGGTGGGTTACCCCCTAGTAGAGCCAAGAAGGTGGACCCAGGTTAGAGAGTGGGATAGAAGCTCAGAAGCCTGACTTGAAACACCCTTGACTGGTCAATGCTGGGGCCAGGATCAGAAGGGTCAAAAGGGCCAGGGGCCCATTACGAGGGACACCCAGAGCTAAGGGCCTGGGGTTACAACTGGCCTTGGAGGTGAGGCCAGGGTCTGTATGGCCAAAGGTCCTGCAGGGGCTACGCCCAAGAGGGGGATAGTTCAGGGAGCTAGGCAACCCAGAATGAGAGTGTCCCGGGACAGAATGGGGGGAAGGACCTCGGACAAGAAAGGAAAGCTATGAGAGGCAGGAGGGACAGGAGAGAGAAAAACAAACACACAGGGAGGGGAGAACAAGGAAAAACAACTTACCTTCAACAGGAGCCTCAACACAACAGAAACAGGGAGAAGCCTGCGTGGCTCATTAGCCACGCTTTTATTCTGCTGAGGCTGGCCAGTGACGTCACGATGAATCCCCATCCGGCAGGGATAAAAGGGGCAGATGGATGAGGAGGAGAAAAGGAGAGGAAGGATCCGGGGACTGTGGGGATGTCAGGCCCCTTCTGGGATTATCACCGGGAAGAAAGCTGTGGACGGGGAGCCAAAGGAGGCTCCAGACGTCCGCCGCGGCAACAGCGGCTGGGAACAGACCACCAGCGCCGGAGGCAAGCGGGAAGCGGCTCTGCCAGCCTGCAAGAATTTCAGCGGCAGGGAAAACAGCAGAGGACACACAGGAGTCATCACCACAGCTGGGAGTAGTGAGGGCTGGAGGGAGGAGGAGGAGCTCTACCTGGCAAGAGAGCCCCAGCGGAAGCAGCCAGAGGGGCTGCACAGAACTCGGGCATCGATCCTGAGTGTGAGGGAGAACCGGCCACCCATCAGGGAACGGAGAAGCCTCCAGATAGGAACACTCCAGAGAGCAGAGGAGCAAGATAGCCCAGGGCTTATAGAGACAGGGGAAGGAGGAGAAGGGAGGACCTGAGCAGGGGTTAGCTCCTAGCCAAACTGTAGAGAGCTCGGCACCCAGGGTCTCTGAGGTAAGAGACCTGGGAAGGGAGTTGCTTTTTGTTCTTTTTTTTCATATGTTTCTTTTGAGTTTCCCCAAGCAAAGGGGTTGAGGAGTAAGAGAGACAGGGCAAAATTCATGAGACGACCCGTCGAGCTAAGATCGGGGGAAGCTACTCCTACGATAGTACAGACCCCATGAGCAAGACCAGCAAACACAACGCAGGATGGAATAAGCCAATTGGCCTCAGAAGCCAGTATCCTGAATAGGAGCCAAATCGTGAGGCTATACGGTGGCAGAGGAAGAGGTACATGGTCACGAGTGAGGGACAACTCATCGAGGTGGCGTGAGGACGGGGTGTAGGGGTGGCAGAGCCCCACTAGCGACCACCAGGACACCCGTGCCATGGAAGATCCTCAGGATAGCCATTCCCCGCACTGAGAAACATTCAAGTCGTGGCAGAAGAGATAGGGGAAAGCTTCCCGCGGAGGGAACACCAGCACGACATTTTTCAGGAGGCTGCAGGGCGTACACCTCTCCGTGTGTGAGCCAAGGTAGCACATGACCAATTACTCGAGACCCAGTGGTCACAGAGAGCAGATTAGGCCACCTGGTTGGAGGGATCTGGTTGGAGTCTGGACTGAAGGATTCTGGGGCCCAGTGTGGGGCCGGTGATGTTAAGAACTGTGGATGCCATCTGCGAGGCTTGGGCTGTGCTGTAGAGGAGGAACAGAGCTGCAGATAGCACCCCCTGGCATCAGGGCAAAAATGGGCAGCCTCCCACCTAATTTACACCATAATTATGTATCATCAAGGCATGGCAGAAGAGGAGGTGGGTGGTTGGCCCAAAAACAGGTGGGCAGGCCAATGACAAACTGGCCCTGAGAGAGCCCCCTGTTACAGATAGTATGCTCTGCCTTGCCAGGCCCCCTCCTTCAATCTTCCCATTTTGGGGCTCCGCCTCCCCTATACTCCGCCTAACGCCAACCAAAGATGTTATTGCCCAATTTTCTAGGTCTGGTCACGGTATCAGTCTTTTGTCTTGACCTTTTCAAGTTATAACAGTCACATTCAGACGTTGCATTTTCTGGTTTGCTTTAAGCCGTATTATGACTGGCCTAGAATCCTTCCTGGCCCCAGGTTACCTTACTCCCCAGCATATTTTCCCCTCTCCCTGGGTGGTGTTTGCCGGAATCCAAGCATCCATCTCTCCTTCACTCTTCAGGTTCCTGGAGGGTCCAATCCTATCTGGAGATGTCCAGAATCCATGGCACCATGTCAGGTACGTAAATTAGCCCTCTTGGGCTTAGCTGGTTATTGGAGGCCCCTTCCTGGAGCTGCCACCACTTTCCTTCAGTGGGGCTCTGCTCCACTCCAGGCTCCTCTGGGCCCACCAGGGAACCCACTTCCAGTTCCTCCCCTTGCTCCTAGTCCATCAGGGTTTTTATTCCCTTTTCAAGGGACCAGCTGGCAAATCAGTGCTGGCACACCGCCATAAAGCGCACCCACACTGGCACAGGAGCTGGTCCCAGCTCCTCTCAGACTTGCTGCTTTTTTTTCTTTTTTCTTTTTCCGGCCTGATGTTTTCCCCGCCATGACTCCGCTCCCCTCACACTCCCAGCTCAGTGCAGCGTCCCGTCAGCTCCACTCATCTCCTTCATCAGGTAAGTTTTTCTCCATGGCCTTGTACCTGCCACACATCCCCACACTTAAGTTGCCTTGTGGCAGAGGAGCTTTTTGATTCTGGTTGTCAATAACTCTGATATTGTTCCTGAATGGATCTGTCACCATTGCCTCAGTCCCATCACACCTTGACAAAAAGTCTGCAACCTTGTTGGTTACTCCAGGCCTATAACTTACAAAGAATTTAAAGAGCTGTAAGGACAAAGCCCATCCGTATTATTCATGCATTATTGTTTTTGGCCTTATTTAGCCATTGTAATGGAGCATGGTCAGTCACTAATTTAAATTCTCTCCCCATTAAATAATACTGAAAATAATTTACTGCCCAGTTTATTGCTAAACATTTCCTTTCAATAGTGGAATACCTTGTCTCGGCTGCATTTAACTTTTTGCTGGCAAAGGTAATTGGTCACAACACACCCTCATGGTATTGACATAACACAGCTCCTACGGCGGTTTCCAATGCATCCATCTGCAGGATAAAAATTTTGAAAAAGTCAGGTGTTATGATTAGCACATCATTGCACGGAGCCCTTTTGCTGTCCTTGAAAGCCCTTTCCATTTGTGGTGTCCACTGTATTGGGCCATGAGCCTTTCCTCTTATTGCATCCATCAGAGCAGCTGCTTTTTCAGCAAAATGTAGGATAAATCTTCTGTAGTAGTTAGCTAGACCCAGGAACGACCTCGCTGCCTCTTAGTCTGAGGGGGTAGGTAGTTTTTTATTGTGGTTACCTTACTGGTCAAAGGTCATATAACCCCCTGTCTGACCCTAAACCCCAGATAATTGGTTTCTTACATCCCCAATGACCACTTTTTGGAGTTGGCAGTCATCCCTACCTGGCAAAGCTTTTGTAGTACTGCCTTCAGATGGCACACATGTTGAAACCAAGATTGTGAGTAGATAACAATATTGTCAATATAGACAGCAGCATACATTGTGTGCGAGGTAAGTATGCGATCTATGAGGTGCTGAAAGGTAGTAGCAGCCCCATGGAGGCCAACAGCATCCTTGTAAATTCAAATAAACCCCATAGCGTACCAAAGGCGGTTTTCTGTTGGTCTTTGGTGGCCATGGGTATCTGCCAATACCCCTTTGACAGATCAATCGTAGATATGTAGTGAGCCTGGCCTATTCTCTCTAGAAGTTCTTCTACATGGGGCATAGGGAATGTGTCAAATACGGCAATTTCGTTCATCCTTTTGAAGTTTATGCATATTCTCAAAGACCCATCAGCTTTAGGTACCACTACCATCAGGCTCTGCCACGGACTGTAGGAGGGTATAATGACCCCTTAGGCTAGCATCTTCCATATTTCCTGTAAATGATGAGGCATGGGTCTCCATCTTTCTCGTACGATGGTTCCCACTGGGGTCTTAATCTTGTGCTTCACACCTTTGGCCTTCCCAGGACTTTCATTAAATATGTTGCTAAATCCTTCTATAAGTCCTTGTAACTACTTATGTTGTTCCCTACTAAGTTCCATCCCCTGTTCTACCTTTCCATGCTATGCAATCCCTCTTGGCTGGTAGTCTTCTTTAGGCCCCAGCTCCTCAGGAGGGTCCTCTGGGCTCAGCATCCAGCCCTCTGGCTCCCGCCAGGCCTTCAGCAGGTTAACATAATAAATCTGCTGCTGCCTTCAATGCCCTGGATGGTAGACTTCATAATCTACAGGGCCGGCCTGTTTTATAATTTCAAATGGCCTCTGCCATTGTGTCAGTAATTTATCCACCATCAAGGGGTGTAATACGAGGACTTTGTCCCCTATGTGGAACTCCCTGCCGTGTGCTCACTTGTCATAGTCCTGTTTTTGCCTTTGTTGAGCCCCTGCCAGGTTTTCTTGGGCCAACTTCCTGGCTTTTCTAAGCCTGTCTACCATCTCCTGCCTATGTCATTGAATTCTGACTTCCTGTCTTCCCATGTTTTCCCATTCTTCCCTTATTTCTTGCAACAAGCCCCTAGGTTTATGTCTAAATATCAAATCAAACAGGGACAATTTTGTGCATGTCTGGGGTATGTCCCGTCATGCGAAAAGCAAGGCTATCAAAACTAGGTCCCACCTCCGTGGTTCTTCTTGGGCACAGCATCATAGTAAACATTTGATTGTATCACTTAAATGTTCCACTAGACTATTGGTCTGTGGGTGATAAACTGATGTATGTAACTGTCGTATTCCTACCACTTGACACATCACCTTAACCCCAGCCTTCAAATTCATGCCTTGGTCAGTAATTATTTCTCTAGGGACCCCCACCCTGGATATCCACTTTAGCAGTTCTTTGGCAATTCGAAGTGTGGTTGCCGCTCATAAGGGTACTGCTTCTGGATAGCGGGTTGTGTAGTCTACTATAACCAGTATGTGCTGGTACCCAGCACTGCTCTTCGTTAAAGGGCCCACAATATCTAGTGCTATTCTATCAAAGGGTGTTTTGATATGGGGCATCACTTATAATGGTGCTCTCGGCGACCATCTTTCTTGCACCCTTTGGCATTCAGGGCAGGCCTCACACTGCTGTGCAATCTCCTCCCTCATCCCTGGCCAGAAAAAACATTGCTTGATCTTGGAGAGAGTCTTGTCTCTCCTAAAATAGCCTCCCATAGGAGTGGTGTGCGCTAATTCCCATACTCATCTACAGAAAGGATGTGGCACCATCAATTGTCGTTTCTAATCACCTCTGACTGGGCACTTCTTTATTCTATATATTAAGCAATTATGTATTTCAAAATGTGGGTCACTTACATTATGGTCCAGTTGGCTACTTCGTCCTTGACATGAGCAACCTCTTCTTCTCAAATCATCAGGAATTCTTTGTCTTCTTTCTGTGCAGTCCTGAACTGGGGCCCCATAGCTCTGGTTCGTAGGTTCATCAGGTCTTCTTCCCCTAAAGACAATGCTTCCTCTTCGGCTACCCAACCCTCAACTTTGGGCCAGCCTTTCCTTCTTAACTTGTCCCTACAGACTTCCTCTAAAACTTCATACAGGGGTGGTCAGTCCTGCCCTATAATCATCTGGCCATCCAATTCTGATGCAAATCCCACTCACATCCTACCCCTTCGGTTGGCTATCCTCACGTTGATGTAGACTTATTTCATACTGGTCAGCTTCCCTATGGATATAACACATCCTTGCTGGTCTGTACCAGTCTACAACGTCTTTCAGAATCAATTTAGACCTTACTAGGGTCTGGAAATAGCCAGTATCCAAGGTAGCTTGGATTGCTCTACCTGCTACCCATGCTGTCACCATGGGCTTATCACAGACTGCTATTTCTTCGCTCCATCTAAAGCTAGAGTCTACCTCTTCTATGGCTTCATTTGCATCAGATCTTTCCTTCGACCCTGAGCTATCCCCCGCTGGCTTCCACCTCTCTTGTGGGCCTAATGTACATTCTTGAGAGACATGACCTGCCTTCCCACATTTCTAACATATTATCCCTTGTCTTGGGAACTTGGGTGGTCTTTGCTGTGGTTCCTCCTCCCTCTTAGTATTGGCTCCCATACTTTTGTACCCCTTTTCTCTAAGGTGCTCCACTTTAGAAGCTACAAAACCTCAGCAACCCTTAAAGGCTCTTTGGCTGTCCTAGGGAGATGCTGGTGTACCCATAATTGGGTCTTTTCTTCTAAATCCTTCACAAATTGGTCAGCTAAAGCAGCCTGGTCTATCTTTTCTGGTGGTACCCACTTATTCATGAGATCCTTTAAAAGTTGCATCAAATTCCTCAGTTTTTGGTCTTCCTTCCCTTTCCGAGCTTGGAACATCCTCCAGTAATGCTCAGATGTGAGCTCTAAGCGATGTAATATCACTGCCTTTATTTTTTCATAATCATAGGCCTCCTCCAAAGGGAGAGCCTGGTACACTGCTTGAGCTTTTCCTATGACTAGGGACCCTAACTGGCTCACCCACTGTAGCCTGTCCAGCCCCATTTGCACGGTCATTTGTTTGAATAACTCGATGTATGCCTCAGCATCATCCTTGTGAGTCATTCTATGCATTCGGAAAGAGGTCCAATTCTGCTGCATCCATTCTTGCTGTTGCAGCGCTTGCTGTTGTTGGATCTCTAGAACCTTGGTCACCATGTGTAACGTCTGACCCAACAACTCCGATTTGGGGCATTAGATTTACCTCCATTTGTATGTCAGCCTCCAAGGTCACCCTTTCCTTGCAGTTCCCAGCCAACGCATCAATTTGTGATCTCCTATGCCGTTCACCAGTGCGTTTTGTTCGTATGGGTGTTTTGGGGTTTTGCCGTAGCTCGGGGAATGGACAGCTTGCGACTGGGTTGGATTTCTTGGAAAGTCCTCAGGGGTTCTTTCCTGCCATGTCTTGCTGGAATAAACTTGTTAAATTGGGAGGAAGATGGTATGCTCTGCCTTGCCTAGCACCCTCCTTCAATCTTCCTGTCTGTCTTCACATTTTGGGGCTCCACCTCCCGTATACCCCACCTAACACCAACCAAAGATGTTAATTCCTAATTTTCTAGGTCTGGTCATGGTATTGGTCTTTTGGCCTGGCCTTTTGAGTTATAATAGTCACATTTGGATGTTGTGTCATCCGGTTTGTTTTAGGCCGTATTAGGACTGGCCTAGACTCCTTCCTAGCCCTGGGTTACCTTACTCCCCGGTATATTTTCCCCTCTCCCTGGGTGGTGTTTGCCGCAATCCAAGCATCCATCTCTCCTTCCTTCTTCAGGTCCCTGGAGGGTCCAATCCTATCTGAAGATGTCCAGAATCCACAGCACCATGTCAGGTACGTATTTTAACCCTCTTGGGCTTAGCTGGTTTAAGGAGGCCCCTTCCTGGGGCTGCCACCACTCTGGGCCCACCGAGGAACCCACTTCCAGTTGTTCTTCAGGGTTTTTATTCCCTTTTCAAGGAACCAGCTGGCAAGTTGGCACTGGCACACTGCCATAAACCACGCCCACTCTGGCACAGCAGCTGGTACTGGCTCCTCTCTGGAACCCACTGCTGTTCT